TTTCGTTTGTTCCTGATGAATATGTACCTCGTTTAAGTGATGGAGATTAGATTCCTCCCAGACCGTGGAGATCTGGACGCTGTTCACCAGCCGAATCGTCCGATGTCAAGCCACTGGAACCCAGAATCATTCCCGTTGTTGCATCAGTGGGCTATTATTATCTTTGACGGACTACAGCATATAAGGTGTGAAAATTCAGCTGGTTTCCATTTCAACCGTTCGGTTAGCTCAGTTCTTCTTGCAGCTGTTCCAACGCCGATCCGCTTGGAATCCTTGCGGGCGAGACCGGGTATGCTCAATGCAATGTATATATATGTCTTGTTGTTCGCCCGGTTGAAAACTACTTCAAATACACACCGCCTGGGATCTGGCTTGCGCCCGGGTCGCTCGTGCTGGATTTTTTTGTTGACCAACTTGTCGATGTAACTCTTCTTCCGTCTCATGAAGCGATGCGGGTCCTTTACGCGCAGAGCCTGATTTTAACTCGTCAATTCCTGCGCTACAACATATAAGTTGGCTTGCCGCCGGAGAAAGCCGCGTTACGGCGGTGCTTACCCGAAGGACGATCCCCCTCTGGCCAAGTTCAGCCTGCGCGTGAGTTGCTCCGCGGAGGATGCAAGATTGTTGTATTGCGGAATCGAAGGCTGCGTGCCATATGTCAATGCATCCGGTCGCCGAGGATCACCATTAGTTGTAGCTCTACCTTGACGATTCCGACCGGTCACATCGAACATCCGTTTGCTGGGTTCTACCTCGACGCCGATGGGCCTCGTCAGCACCATCTCTAAAGACCCGCCGGAGCTGAATTGGATCTGCGCGGACGGAGACACGCGGGAATTGAAGTACAGGAACAAATCGGTCAGCCTGGATCACATTCACGGCCCTTGGGACTATACAGAGGACCAGAAGGGGTTGATCCTGGATGACTGGGAGGGGTTGGTTGCTTTGGAAGAATCACCGGGTGTGTTAGAAATCAGTTTGCAGAGGCGGATTTTGAAGCAGCCTAGTGCGTAGTAAGTACTGTATCCGGTCTTTTGCTTGCGGGTGTCCTCAACCTTGTTGGGCGCTTGCTCAGCGGCCTCGGTCTTGACAGTCTCCTGAAAGGTATCGTTACCGCTACAGGCCTCGACAAGCTCTACAACGGTCTCGGACTCGGCAAGATGTTAAATACGAAGTAAAGTAATACTAGTAGCCCCAATTATATATGTGCATTATGGGCAATGGACGGGCGTTCAATTGCCTTGGTTGAGGATGTAGAGGCCAAGCTTTCACTGCAGCGATTGGGCGAAGGATCCTACAATGGACGTCCGAATGACATTAGAAGAGAACTCCCCTTGAAGCTAGAAGCCCAATGGCGATATGGATTGTTGACCCCAGGTGCCACCGGTTGAGTTGATGTGGCCTCAGTAGAACAATATCATCTGCGCAGAAAAAAAGTGCTTCTTGAGTGCTAGGCACGTAGGCGGGCAGGTGAATTTTCGCAGGCCATTGAGCACCTCGAGCGTTCGTAACGCGGGTATGAACATCGGCGAGCGAAGGAGCGCCGTGTTGAACTCAAGCAAAATCTGAAGCGGGAGAGGCACACAGGCAGAGTGTGGGTCAGCGCGCGGGTCAGCACTCAGTAACGTGGGAGACATGCAGCGACTTCAGCAGGATCGAAGGGGAAGTCCGGGACATCGATTCCAAAGGATTCGTACAATCTATGATACGGGGTCCGGCCGCTAGATCATACCGCGTGTAGGGACTCACTGCATTCTGACCGCAGCGTATCGTAATCCAAGAACCCTGTAGCGCAGGCTGCAGCCAGGCGATCTTCGACGTGATCGTCGAAGAGGGGGCCACCAAGCATAAGACGGACGTGGGCGAGTGCGGGGAAAGCAGTATTCTGACCCCCAGGATGTGTGCACATGGACTCGACCATATCGGCGACAACGAGGCCATCAAGGTAGTAGCTGCTTGCTCGGATGCGTAACCGGTCAAGTTGGGGCAAAGCAAAGAAGGGATTTGGCTCTTCGGGGTCGTACGTGAATGCCTTGAACAGTACATCCTCGACGCAGCAATATGACAGATCCAATATTTCGAGAGCGGGGAGGTGTCGGAGGAACGAGATGAGATTTTGCGCGCTGAGCTCGACGTCCAATGTGAGATGTGTCAGGCTGAATTTTGACCTGACATATAGGTTTGTCAGACTAGTGGCCGAGACATGACCGCCTCCAATATTCAAGTTCGCGAGATTCGGAAATGAGAACGCTTCAAGGAACTCCGACGGAATGCCTAAACCATCACCGGCTGTAATCTCAAGCCGCCGCAGGTGAGCCATTTGAGACACACGCTGCTGCAGCTCGAGGTCATCCGGAGTATACAACGAATGTAACAGGCAGTCCTCTATCATGACGCATTGCGCCAGGATATCCGTTGCTTCCCTGAAGGACATCCTGCCAACCCGCAACTCCAATCGTGTCAACTGGGCCAACTGGGCCGACGGACGCGCAGATAGCAACGAATTGGGGAGCATGTAGAAAGCGCTGAGGTACAGCTGGCGCAGCTGGGGCGCATCGTTGATGAAGGCCATAACCTGGGGGGCATCGAGTCGGAAGGAGAATTCTCCGGTTGAGAATGCGGGGCAGAGATTTAGAGGATAGACTGAGATGAATGTCTTTCCACCTCTCATGGATTTGGAATATCATATCGAATAAATTTTCGGCCTCGGCCGGCGAACTGGACCAGATCGAGAGGCTAACGTACAAGGGAAGGACGTGGGACCTGGAAAGTATGGGTGGCAACAGTGAAGCTAGGGGCTCCATAAGAGAGCCAGGCATCGTGGAGAGATGCAGATGGTCCCACAGTCTGGGGGTACCATGGCAGACCTGGCGCCAACGCGATGAGACTTGACTCATCAGCATCGGTGCCTGTTCTGGATCGGGAATGGAGTAGTTGCGAGCCGTCAGACTGTTATCCCGACAGCCGAGGAAGATTTCGACCAAGATTTCGGATGGAAAGTGGCATATGGGAGAAAGGGCGCCTTTCAAGGTGTCTGCGTATTGGCTGCGCCGACGTCGCTCCTGTTCGAGCTTCACGAGGGCGAGCAAGGTCTTGGAGATCTCTCCCTCGAGTTCCTCGAGCCTATTCAGAGTAGCGTCAAGCGTGGCCCGAACCTGACGCGCTTGGGAGTCATCGAGAGGCTCATTGGTCTGGATGAGCAATGTTAGAGTCGGATCCATGCTGATCTGGATCCCATTTAGCGATATGGGTAGCAGAGACAAATAAAGGGTTCACAGACCAGTTTCAAGGAGAAAGGTGGATATAGACGTAGCCTGACGCCGCGCAAGTCGAGGATACGTGAAAAAGGTAGTCTGATGGGATCAACATGCGGCGATGGTATCTCGCCGGCGGAGTCGGAGCCTGAAATGCAGCTCCCGGCAAAGTCAAAAACAATCAGTGGTTATTCAAGTTTCTCATGGACGAAGAAAAAAGGTAGGTCACTCAATGTGTCCTTATCTGTACTGATTCCGCTTTTGAAAATCAAAAGGAAATCCCCAATTTAAACTACGACTTTAGTGATGTCTTCTTGGCTTGCAGGTCATTGCTTGACCGAGATTCACCTTGGAAAATCTGAGGAAAAACCCCAGGCACGGGGATTGACTAATGAGCTAGCTGGGACTTCTTTCACTGTGAGTTCAAAAAGTCGTTCTCGCCCAACTATTCGAACACGGGGAGTACCCCGATCTGTCTCGCGCAACTGCGAAAACTCAACACAAGGAGACGATGCGGTGTACCGTCAACCATGTCCGACTACTCTTTCTCTTCCCCTACCTTACATTTCCAATAATCTCTCTCTCTCTGTGGTCCTCACACTCTCCATACGATATCCTCCCGCACCATGACGGTCTTCGTCACCCCTGTTCAACACCGTGTCTCTTCCCACTCATAGACCGCATCTCACTTTCAGTTTCCCTGTACGTATTCTACTTTTTATCTTTCAGTATGTGTTATCTTTAAAATGTTTCGCACTCACACCCATCTCTCCACTTACCATGTCCGATACCTACCTGTAGGAGTACTGTTGCGTAGCTATTTGCAGTCAGGGACGACAACCAATAGAACTCAAGTCAAGTCAAGTCAAGTAGTCAAAAAGAAGGGGACAGTGCCAGAATATTCGGACACGGGGAGTCGAACCCTCATTTTCCCTGCCTAATTCCAAGATCTTCGCATCGAAGGGAAGTCGTGTGCCGTACACCATGTCCGATGGTTTCCGTACCTACGTTGGAAAAGTAAAAGAGCATCGTTCGCAGCGCGTTCAAAAAGAGTTGCTGAAGGCTGTATTCGGACACGGGGAGTCGAACCCCGGGCTGCCTCGCGCAACTAAGAGAACTGAACGATAAGAGAGAAGGTGATGTACCGTACGCTATGCTCGATGGTTTCTGGACCTGCGAAGCTGGATAGGTGAGCGATATTTGCCTACAGCTAATGAATAAAAAGAAGGCAAGACACAATGATTCGGACACGGGGAGTTGAATCACGGGCTGCCTCAGGGCACCATGATCTTCTTAAAAGGAGAGGAGGCCGTGTACCTGCACCACGTCCGACTATTCCAGAGCCTGTTGACTCGGATATGTGAGCATCTTCCACAGTGGGCTAAAAAAGGTGTTATATAGAACATGTATTCGGACATGGGGAGTCGAGCCCCGATCTGCCTCAGGTGACGCGTTCGAAGGATTTGAAGGAGAGGAGGCGGTGTACAGTACACCATGTCCGATGAATTAGGTACCTGCGAAGGTGGATAGATGTGATATTTTCGCGCCGCTTACCCAAGGCTAATAAGACTCAGCAAAAGAAAATCGAAATACAGCACGCACTTAGTCGGACACAAGGAACCAGGCCTTAGCCACGAGGATAGAAGGAAATGTCCTATAGGCCGAGTCCTGTGTAGGCCTTCGAAGCTGGTAAGGTGAGATAATTTCGCAGTGCGTAGTCAAAAAGGGGGCGGACAGTGTCAAACATTCGGACACGGGGAGTCGAACCCCGATCTGCCTCGTGCAACTCAGAGAGTTAAATATTAACAGAGGAGGCCGTGCACCGTACACCATATCCGAGTCCTATGCATGCCGGTGAAGCTGGATATGCGAGTGATATTTCGTAGCGGGTTCAAAAAAACCTCGGCGACGTGCAGTTTCGGACACGGGGTGCCTCGCACAACTTCTCGCCCTGAGCACGAAGAGGGGAGCGGGTGTACTGAACACCATGTCCGATGATTTTTACATCTGGGAAGATGCATGGATGAGCGATATTTCGCAGTGGATTCAAAAAGACAGCTACACAAGCGTGCGATTTCGGACACGGGGAGGCGAACCCCGATCTGCCTCGCGCAACTGTTGTCTCTCAATACCAAGAGAGGAAGCGGTGTACCATACACCCACCCGATGCTTTCTGCACCAATGAAGGTGGATATGTGATGAATATGTCCTTGCGGCGAATAAAAAGAAGAGGGACGACAGAAGTATCCGGACACGGGGAGTCGAACCCCGATCCGCCTGAGGTGACGCATTCGAAGGATTTGAAGGAGAGGAGGCGGTGTACCGTACCCCATGTCCGATGATTTCAGTCTCTGTGAACTTGGTTAGATGAGTGATCCTTGGGAGGGAGTCCAAAAAGTTAGACTAACTTATCATAATTAATTTCGGACACGGGGAGTTGAACCCCGGACTGCCTCGGGCAACCGCCAAATCTGACCGCTAAGAAAGGAGGCCGTGTACCGTACATCATATACGATGATTTCTACACCTGGTAATTTGGATAGGTCAGCGATATTTCGCAGAGGTGCATAAAAAGCAGAGAAGAACTAATTTAAAATATTCGGACGCGGGGAGGCCAACTCAGGGCTGTCTCGTGTAAGTTCTAAATCTTAACAGTACCAGAGGAGACGATGTCTCGTACACCATGTCCGATTATTTCTGTAGCTGTGAATTTGACGAAGTAGGCCCATAAAACGCGTCGGCCCGATTTAGACCGGTGTTGTGGTGTGCTTGCCTGCGACCTACCTGCAGCGTCCTTCTCTCCTGCCCAATTCCGAATGCATGCATTGCTCGTGTACGGACTCGCTTGAACTTGAAATGCGAAGCTTTGTGATAAGCCGTCTCTTGTCGTATTCGGTCGAGCAGGATCTCTGGTCTAGCCTGCGGATTCCTGACGACAGAACTTGAAGACTCGGAAGAGCGCGGCTACATTGGCACATCCCGAGGACGAGACACCGCGAAGGCCTTTCCTCCCTGTCCCGCCGCCGAATCAGCTTCCCGCGCCCGCGCATAGGCATGCCGCCTTCGATGGACACGGCGACACCGTCAGAATATGTGTACACTCCGCGTGCCCTCCGCCCTGGGGCGTTTCAATTCCAGCCTCGCCCCCGTGCTTTTGCGCGCAGCGTACATCATAGTCCGGCCCCCTCCCAGCATCGCACGCCCTTCAGATGTTTTCTGTGACTGTGACGTTGAGTAGGTGAGCAATTTTTCGCAGTGGAAACAAAAGGAAATTGGCAAAGTTTCCATTCGGACATGGGGAGTCGAACCGTGAGCTGCCTCGTGAAACTCTTGATGACGCGTAAGAGGAGAGGCGGTGTACCATACACCACGTCCGATGACTTTATATACCTGCTAAGGCGCATAGGTGAGCAGTATTTCTACTGGGGCGAATAAAAAACCATTAGAAGAGCCGAGGATTCGGACACGGAGAGTAGAATCCCGATTGCCTCGCGCAACTTCTGCGATTGAACGCGAGGAGGAGAGCCGGTGTACCGTACACTGTAACCATATCCGATGATATCTCTCCCTGAGGAAATGGATAGGTGAGCAATATTTCGCATCGTGTTCAAAAGTACATAAGGGACATGACATTCGGACACGGGGAGTCGAGCCCCGATCTGCCTCGCGCAACTGCGAGAAATCTACATTAAGAGAAGAGGCGGTGTACCGTACACTATGTCCGATTCTTTGTGTCCCTGTGCATTTGACTAAGTGAGTATCTATCGAAGCGGGTTCCAAAATCCTCGGCAACGAAGAATTTCGGACACGAGTCGAACCCCGATCTGCCTCGCGCAACTGCGAGAAGTCTACATTAAGAGAAGAGGCGGTGTACCGTACACTATGTCTGATTCTTTGTGTCCCTGTGAAAAATTTGACTAAGTGAGTATCTATCGAAGCGGGTTCCAAAATACTCGGTGACGGAGAATTTCGGACACGGGGACTCGGATTCGAACACCTCACTGCCTCGCGCACCATCATGGACCGAACCGTATGAGAGGCCGTGTACCATACACCATGTCCGATTACTCCTCTACCTGCGAACTCGAATATGTGGGCAATATTTTCCAACGGCGTATAAACAGTAGGTAAGAGACAAGAAATATTCGGACACGGGGAGTCGAACCCCGGACTGCCTCGTGCAACTCGGCAATATCGACCGGAAGAGAGGAGGCTGTGTACCGTACACCATGTCCGATGCTTTCTGTACCTACAAAGATGGATCGGTGAGCCATATTTCGCATCGCGATCGAAAAGGGTTTACACGCCCCGATGATTAGGGAATACATTATGTAATCGTGTCCCGGGACACGGCGTGGCGTTGTTTGGCTGCGGGCTCCCGTGTCCCCGTGACCTCGGGACCCCGCGCACTCGTTTGGTTTGTTTCCGTCGATCGACCACTACCGCCGCTCGCCCAAAGTAGTAAGTAAGTTCAAATGTGACAGCCTTTCATCCAATTAATTTCCCTGGGCTCCGATAGGCCCGCACAAGCCATTCTGCCCTATAATTAAATTACATCGAGTGCAAATGGTCTTTTAGAATCAGCAGAAAATAAAGAAATTATCAAGAAATACCTCCTGTCTTAGACATGGGCATCTCCTTTTTCTCTCTCTCTTCCTTCTTTCCTTGCGCGCGACTTCTCGAACTTGACATCACGCAACCCGAATGACAGACCTCATCAGCCCCTTCGGGGTGTTCCCATCAATCCCGCCGCGCGGTACTGGCAGCTCTCCGCCGATGCCTTCATGCCCCGCGGACCTTACTGTGGCATCTCTCACGACTGCTTCGGGCAGTCAACTCGACTTCTGGATTGATGCCGCCAACAAGAAAGCCGAGAAGAAGGTGCTTGTCAAGACAGGCAGAGTTGATACGCGCCGGGAGCGGCTTGCAGGGCAATGCAGGCTATTACGGGCTTGATCTGTCCGCTATGCCTGTTACACCGACTATTGGCCCCGTCTCTCGTGATGTTGCTATGACTGAGGATTGGGCCTCTTCGAGGCGGGCGCTGAACCTTTAGGTTCAAGTTGAAGACTCAGACTTCGTACCCTTGGCCGCGGCGGGGTATTCCGGACCGGGTGATACCATCACTTGATGGTGTCACCGTGACCGTCCTTCCTCCGACTCTCTCGCCTTGCTCTCGCCCAGCTTCGCCTCCCAACTTCCTTCACACACTCAAAACAAGAGAGGCTCTCGTTGCCCGCTAACTATACACTACACAACGGCTGACGTGGCAATCAATCAACTGATTGATTTCGGACGCAACATATTCCGAGTCCGATGCGGGCGGATGAACACGAAACGAATATGACACATCCAAAGGAACAGCAAGTAGCATTTTGGTAGCGGTAGTAGCTCATGATCCTGGCATTTGGCAAGAAAAAGGTGGTGGTATGGCATTGCATTTTTTTTTGTATCCAAAGTTCCACGTCGAACACCAGGAGTAATATCGTTTCGCGAGATGACCAAATTTGTATGACGAATTCGTTGTTTGTGCATGTTAGAAAAACGGATATTGATCGAAACCCAAGTTCCACAGGTTAGCCAAACCTAAAGGTTCAGCAATAAATAAAAGCCAATGGGCACATCTCCGTGCCCTCGGAGCTGAATGGGCTCAAAAGGACTCGGCTAAAATCCCATTTCGACTTGTTACGGAAGTGCCATCGGTTAACTCGACTTGTATGGTTCTAAATTTATCTGGTGCGGTGCGAATTCTCATGATTATCTCGACAGACCCACTACTGCCAAGTATCAAGTCTGCAATTGAGGAGACACTTGCTGGTTCTGCTGCATTTTCTGCAGGATCTGCATCCGAGCCCCAACAAACTGGTGGTATGGATGACGAGACCGTGCAGGCATTAATTGAATCAGCAAAGGAAGGAGATATGGCTTCAATGATTGCTTTGTTCAAACTTCAGGCACTTCCGTTTCGTCCGGTTTATTTAGAATAATACAACTGCTTCCGCTCACACTGGGCCAGTAAATACCCCGAATGTGTCTTGTCAGCCTAGAGTTGGTTCGTCGACCCGCCCCACTCATACCCAAGCCGCCCAGTTTGAAATTCGAAGCCACTTGTCAGTTATTTCAGTTCTCCGGCTCCGGTTCCTTGCCAAGGAGGTTTGGATGCGATGTTGGAAGTACATCATTTGCGCTGTGATATCACACACTACCAGACTTCCCACCCGCCATCATCACTTTACTCAGTGACTCGACCATGAGTCCATGGCGGCGATGCCAGCGGGCACCCTACGTCCCTACAAGGGACAGAAAATACCGTGGACCTTGCTCATTCAGGGAAGAGTCTCTTCAAGCTTCGTTGTTTGTCTTCGAGTGTTCTGATTTCTCACCCATTTTCAAAAGCTCATCGATATTCACGAGACATGTTTTGGCGCTGTTTCAAACTCAGCAATGGTGCCTCGGATAGCATCAAATGTTGCAAACATTCAGTGTCCTGTTAAGAGGTTTAAACTCAGAGTATCCGAACCTTGTCAATACCATCTATGGTATATGTCAGTTTGACGACTTCAGTGGAAATACGGGCCGGGGACAGGTTCAATTGATCCATCAGATCCCTGATGTTCTACCGCAGCCAAGCAATAGACTGGAGTTGCTCTTGTCAGGGCATGTAGTCCATTCCATTCCCAATGCACAAGATCTCGTAGACCAAGCTCTTTGGTGAGACAGACCTGAAATGTGACTAGTATGCTATTTATTTATTTATTTTTGATACTGGAAATTTATCTTTTAGGCAAACTCTATGCGAACGCAGCAAGTTACTGATGTCAGAATTTGTAACGGATGCAGAAGCTGAAGCCGCCCCGTCAACAACAAGGACTGAAGCAAATACATGGGATGTGCTGTGCAAATTATACCAACGTACCAAAGTGAATGTATCAAAGGAAAGGCACTGGTTGGGAGATTCAAGTTTTTCACTACAATTTTCGGTGAAAAATGTCGTTAGTTTTTCAGCAGTTTTTCAGCAGTTTTTCACTGAAAATTGTGCTGAAAAATTCAAACATTCTTCACCACAATTTGCAGTGGAAAACAAGGTGAAAAACTTGAAACAAAATTTTTGAAATATTGTGGCAGATTTTCACCAAGTTTTCACACATATTCCAACCTGAAAACAGAGGTGAAAAACTTAAAACTTTTTTCACCAGAGTTCTCAGTGAAAAAAGATGTGTAAAATGTGTGAAATATGTTAAAGAAAACCTGGTGAAAAACTTGAATCCCAGCTTCCCTGGTTTTCATACATTTTTCATCATATTATGATGTGTTTTTTCGGTGAAAATGTGCTGAAAAAGATAAGTGTTTTTTCACCGCTTTTTTCAGGGGAAATACAAGTGAAAAATTCAAGATATTCTTCACACATTTCTCACTTGGAACCAAGGTGAAAAATGTAAAATAGTTTGATTCAAATTTTTCAGTGAAAATTGCAAAATAGTTGTTTTCAAGTTTTACAGCACAAATATTTCAAGTTTTTCACCTGAAAAATCTGGTGAAAAACTTGAAACCTAGTTTCATCGTGAGATAGTATTGACTCCCACAGTGAGGTCAGAAGCATCAACACTCATTCAACTAGGTAGGTGCAGATTCATGGTCCCCCGGCCTCTCCACATCTTTCTGATCCACTTTTAGGCAGATCCAAGGGGGTCAGTTATTAGTCCTGCACGGGTATCAACGTGCACTGGATCATAGTTGGCCCAATGCAGGTCAAATCTTGAACAATGTTCAGAATGCCTAACCAATGTTCTAGCCCAAAGACTGAGATTTAAACGTGGGCCATCGCACCCAACGCTCCACAGCCAATCTCATATAATCAAGTGTTTCCCATAGTTCCAAAAGTAGCTCGCACTAGGTGAGCTCACAGCACCAATCCTTAAGTCTTCCCACACCTTCCTAACCAATTTTTAGACAATTCCATGGCCAAGGGGGTCCATTCTTAGTCTTGCACATGAATAGAGCCGATGTCTGCCATAAATGTGCCTAGCGCGAAGTCTCGGAAGGATCAAGAGGAGCTGAAGGCATGCAGACCAACATAATGCCATGTGCCTCAAGATATTCTGAGTGCTCAATCGTTGGTTCAAGGCTTAGGAAGGCCACTCCTCCTCGCCGGGTTGGCTAGACCCATTAGGGATGCAAAAGCGGCAGCACCCTGCTGAGGGCACTCAGGCAGAACTCTATGTGAACATCTGAGCTAAGGGAAAACACCACTGACATGAGTGGGTGGGCATCTGCTTTCTTTGGACCATGGAGCAGCATGTGGGTTTGTCTTCAACACTTTCTTGCATGCTGGCCAAAGGCAAGAAGTTTTGGCTTTGCCAGTGTTGTGCCTTTGGCTGTCTCCATGCTGGTTCTCAGTCAGAAACAGTGAATCTAATACTCATTCTTCGTGCTTATATTAAGGGCAGTCAGAGTAGTCAGTTTGGAGGCCGTTTTGATGGTCAGTTTTAAAAAAGGTTCTGATTTATTTTCATCGTGAGATATTTGCAGAACCGCCTCCAGAGGCAGTTCTGCAGCCGGTTCTGCAAAAGTTTTGGAGCCGGTTCTCCCGTATCACAAATTTATTGAAAAGCTAACAAAAATCAAGTACCAAGAACTGTAACTGCCATAAAACTGCCTCTGGAGCCGGTTTTACAAGGCAGTTTTGAGGCGGTTCCAGTTCTGAGACCAACTCTCTGGACAAAATTTTTTTCCATGGGCTCACAGTGAGGTGGATTTCCCTGCTGGAGGTCTGGACAGTTGTATGAGACCCTAATCAGCTCAGAATGATCATCAGACGACCAAAATCACCTCGCAGCTGAGTTGTTGCTGCAATCAGTGATTTTGGCCAACTCTCTGAACGGAATTTTTTTCCGTGGGCTTGCAGTGAGGTGGATTTTCATGCTGGAGGTCTGGACGGTTGTATGAGACCCTGATCAGGTCAGAATGATCATCGGACGAAAAATCCACCATCAAAATCACCTTCTCACAGCTGAGTTGGTGCTGCAATCACTGATTTTGGCCAACTCTCTGAACAGATTTTTTTCTGTCGGCTCACAGTGTGGTGAATTTTCCTGCTGGAGGTCTGGACGGTTGTATGAGACCCTAATCAGCTCAGAATGATCATCAGACGACCAAAATCACCTCGCAGCTGAGTTGTTGCTGCAATCAGTGATTTTGGCCAACTCTCTGAACGGAATTTTTTTCCGTGGGCTTGCA